TGTGTGAGGCCTGAACCTTTCTGGAAACTAAAGGAGGTTGTAAGTGTAGTATACAATTTTTGTAGACACTGCATTGGTGACTTGGTCTAATCTAGCACTTTTAGCAAATTAAAACCATAAAATTAAGTCACTCTAGTTATTTTCAATCATTCTGCTTCTCAGGAAGCTACAGAATAGAAGTAAGCAGCAAATCTTGCTTCACAGTCTGCCTCACAGCTTCTTATGTGCTCAGGAAACATACTTGTCTCTTACAGCTATGAAACCAAAAAGGAGAATTTGAATAATTTCTTTAAATGAATATATTAAAAACATTGACTTTTCTAAAATGACCTTATATCCTGCTATATGTGTGTGTTCATGTTTTACAACATGAGGTCTCCTTAATCATATCCCTAAACTGCTAGTAAGTAGGTAGATACAAAATTGAGAGGTTGAGGAAACACCTTGGAATGTGTGTTACACTGTACATGTGAAGTTGTATAGTGAACTTGATTCTTTTAAGAGACAATTCTTTCAGAATGAATAAGTATCAGATCTTTTGTGCATGTGAAGTAAAGTTACATTTTTAAAAAACTGAGGAGAAGGAGCACCAAGATGGTGGAGTGGTAAGCAGCAGAGAAGAGCCTCTCTGAGAGTGGCCATCCAGATGCTGAAAGAGGGCAACATGAGGAAGACAGGAAGGAGGGAGGTGGATGTCTTGGATGCACGAAGGATCTGAAGCATGAATTGAAGCCCCCGGAGAGAGTGAAGAGAGAAACTTCAGTGAAGAAGGGAGGAGACAGCGGCACCTTCTGTCACACTGTGTGAGAGGAGCAGTTCAAACCTGTGGACACAGTGACCGCTGCTGACACTAAGGGCCTCCATGGAGATGCAGCAGTGAGGAGGACCAGCAGATGGAAGTGAGGGACTACGCTGGCTGGCAGTGAGTGCTGAAGGGTTGGTTGTCCCATGTGAGAGAGCCATTGGCCAGGAGCCATCTTGGAGAGGGAGGGGCCGAGGAGATGGCTCAGTGGAATAAGCGCTTCCCTGGCAAGCGCAAAGGCCTGAGTTCAATCCCCGGTGAGAGACCGACTGAGCTCAGCCCTCAGAGCAGCAGCTGGCTGCACCTGGCAGCTCCCCACTGGGCCCAGGCCCCTGGACAGTGTGGCTGCAGGCTGCGTGGGTCTGGTCTCTTCCAGCTGAGATTACTCACCATCCCCCCCAAGAAGCTACTGCTGGCTTGCTGGGATAAATCAGCTGGAATGAGATTCTGCCTCCACACGTTATCTACCAGTGACAGCAGAGACAAACCTGGAAGTGGACTTTTTTCTCTTTTTCTCCCTCTCTTTTGCTGTGGTGTTTTTGGTTTTGGTTCTCTGTTTTGTTTTTTTCTTCATTATTTAATCTTTTTTTGTTTGAGTGTGAACACAGTTTCTAGCCTTTTCTTCCAATCTTCTGCACCACTTTCCAAAGTTAGCGTGATCCCCCTTTGTCCTCAATCCTTCTAATCTCTTCTGTATCTCTATTTTCTTCTTAACCCATTTCAAATTTTAACCTCTGAGGGAAAAATTCACATGTTAATGACCTATATACTACATATAATTTCCTGGTTTAGGAAAGGTTTAGGTTTTGTTATATACCCACAAATCTAGTTTATATGGTTAAATGTGACAAATTCACAGTCAGCTCAGTTTGTCATTTTGTAAGCTGTGTTTAATACTATTGTCACTGGTACCACTATAGCCAAAAGTGAAGCAGTTTTGCTAAACAGCTGTCTGTTCTGGTATTCCAAGACTGGGATTGACTAAGGGTCATGGAAAATACAATGGCACAGTGCCAGAGCGAAGGAGGTAGGCCAAACTGACAACAGCATTCATCCCCAACAAACTAGGAAGTGGGATCTTGCAGCAGACTCAGAACCCAAAACTCAGCTACACCTGCAAGATAGCTCAGAGAAGTAGTCATTTCCTAGAGGCTCTAAATATTAGCAATAAAGCAACCCACTACAGGCAGTTTATAAACATCACCCTAGGAATTAAATGAAAAAACTGGTATATATTTTGTTGCTTAAAAGTATTTCAATTAAGTAGAAATATATTATATTACTATTGACTAGGATCCCAAGAGAAATATATACCGAATTTCCACTAAAAGACTTGTTCATAAGTATTCATAGTAGTTTTATGCGTACTAGTCCTAAAATAAAAACAACCCAAATGTTTGTCTCCCAGTGACCAGATATGTGAATTATGATATAATAAACAGTGGATAAGAAATAAAAGGAATAAGCTCCTACTAGATACACTAACTAACATGGCTGAATCTTCAAGACATTATGAATGAAAGAAATCAGAAATAGTATGTGTTGTGTATTTGAATTTATTAGAAATTATTGGGGCTGGAAAGATGGCTCAGTAGAATAAACACTTCCCTGGCAAGCGCAAGGGTCTGAGTTCAATCCCCGGTTCCGCAAAAAAAAAAAAAAAAAGAAAGAAATTATTTCACAGGCAAAACCAGTGCAAGGGCCTGAGTTTAATCCCCGGTTCTGAAAAAAAAAAAAAAAAACAATGAGGAATATAATACCATTGCTTAAGTCTAGGTTGGATTAACGGCATGACTGGCCAGGGAGCCCACAGAACTTTGGGTGGTAGATGTTCTATGTCATGTTTAATGTGGTAGTCCCACTCAGCCTTGCCAACTGTAATAGGAAACACAGTGTTCTGTGACCCCAGAAGTACTTTCTTTTCATCTAGCAGTTATGTTCATCGATTGTACAGTTAGACCCATGAAATTAACCACTACAAGTAGCTTTGTAGATTTTAATAATTATCTGTGAGAGAACTAGTTTGCTCCCAACTATATAGGTGCTGATTTAGAGTTTCCATAGTGCAACTTTGCATCTTGTTTACATTTTAGATTCTTTTCTAGGGCTTGTATTTTAAAGTGTGAGCAGCTCAGCCAAGCTTAATCATAGCTTTAAGCCCAAGGTAACATCGCAGTCCCGAAGTGATTTTAATCTGAATCATTATTTACTGGTAACCTGGACAGTACATGGCGTGTGCTGTTCTCTGTCACTCAAGCCTCCCTTTCCCTAGCTTATGATTACTTTTCACATTTTATAGTTTATCCTTCCTCTTCTCCTAGGAAGCTAGGACTTGTTTGTTTTTTCCTGAGTGAATTGAAAAATAATCGTGGAAAAGAAAACCACAGGGAGTCTAGGGATATTTCTGCCTAGGAACAAAAATAAACATTTGAATTAAATTTCTGCATTATTTTCACATTGTGTACAGCGTTTTAAATGTTTTGGTTTGGCTCATAAATCCTTCACTGCCCAACATTGCCATCGTTAAATCTATAATGTTGTTTTGCCCTGTCTAGGTGTTTTCTTTTTATTGGGGGGGGGGGCAGGTGGAACGGGGGATTGAACTCAGACCCTTGCGCTTGCCATGGAAGCGCTTACTCCACTGAGCCATCTCCCCAGTCCCTAGGTGTTTTCTTTTTCTTTCAGCTTTGTATGAGACTATGGCGCAGTGATGGCTAACCTTTTAGAGCTTTCAGTGATACAAACAGGCCATATTGGCACACATGCCATAGGTTCACCGTACTGCTATACAGTCTAATACTTTTAAAAGAGGCATTTGCTAGCCTGTGTTGCTATACTTACTACATAGCCCATGATTCTTGCCTTATTTAAGTTTCAGTGTTTGACAGTGTTAGACAGGTGCTCATCCTGCTGACCAGCACCTGACTGGGGAGGGTGGAGGCTGATGATGGATGGACTTGTCTGATGACAAAAAAAGCAGTTCCATGAATATGAGTGTGCAGGGTAAAATTGGGACCAGCAGATGGTAGGGCGAAGCTGTATCTTATTTCTTCCTGAGCTCCGAGATTTGCCGTAGCTGTCTTTCACAGAAGCCAGCTGGGACTGCCATTAACTGCCAGCACCCTCTGATTTTTGTAGAATGCACTTGTTGCTTTCTTTAGAATTTATCCAACCTCTCACTTTTATATATGGCTCTGTGCTCATTTGGTGGCAAAATATGACAGTGCAAAGCAGAGTATATGAGAGCTCCCGTTAGGTCGTGTTTGCACAATGCAGTCATCTGAAATCTGGTTCTTTCTTGTTCCTCCTCTAATCTCTGATACTGGAAATTCCTAGGGTTTCTGCTGTTGCCATTTCAGATCTTGGTCCTAAGAGTTCTTCCATATGGGAAGACCATTTCTCAGAAAAAGACCATTGCAGAATACAAGGTTCTGTGTAATCTTAAGTCAAACAGATCTGCTGGTTTTAGCTTTCCTTACCATATATCAGATTTAATTCCTTTAAATGAAAGTATATTTTGGAAATATGTTTTGGGTTTAACTCCTGAAACATAACCTACTAATTGACATACTTCTGCAGTAGATACAGTTAAATTTATTATAAACAATAGTACTTAGTCTGGTTTAAAGATGTTCTTGAGTATTTTGAGAGGAAGGAAAGAAATGTAGAAATTACGAGTAGGATTTTGTAAGGTGTGGAACCAAAGGAGAAGCTGGGAATGCAGCCTGGGGTGATACTTACTCTACATCCTTAGCAAACCCTGGTTGTGCAAGAAGGGAAATTATCACTTTCCTTCGTCATCTGATAATTTGTTTTGAAATCACTTCCCCCACGGATCCCTACAGAAATCTCACAGTTGGCTTTTTTTTTTTAACCAAACTTGGATATGTTTCCATCTCTGAACCAGTCATTATAACTTACTGGCCAGACCTGACTTTTTTTTTTTTTAACCTATCTCTGAAGCTTAGAAATTGAGCTGGGTCCTCTGCAAACATAGAGTGGAATTGAGTGATATTAACACTGGATGAAGAAAGGGATGCTAGACAGTTAAAAACATTAAATAGCCACTCTGTCCTCAAACTTTTTAGTAGTAAAGGACCATCCTTAGGTCAGAAATATGCTAGCATGTGGGTTCTTTACGTGGGTCTTCCACTGTCTAAGCCTAACTCCTCCCCACATTGTTTTCGTTTTGCTGCAGATACCTATTTCCCAAGTTTACACTGTGCTGGACTGAGTTTGTGGACATGAAGGTCCGTGTGCCGTGTGAAACCATTGAATACATTGAAGCCAACTATGGCAAGAGCTGGAAGATTCCCATAAAGACATGGGACTGGAAGAACTCTCCACCCAACGTGCAGCCCAATGGAATCTGGCCTATTTCCGAATGGGACGAGGTGATCCAGTTATACTGAAATACTAAGTGGAAATGGGAGAATTTCTCTTCTGGAAAAAGAAAAGTGGGGAACTATTTAAGAAATCCACACCTACTCCCCAAATGTAAGTGAGAGCATCACCACAAACAGGACATCTGAGGACAGAGTCATAACTCCTGAGCCTTCTGATTGAGTTCTGTAACAGCGTGTATTGTGCAATTTCTGTGTGCCAAGTGAAATGCAAGATTACAGTGGAGAATCAGGTGCAAGAGCAAACATCCACCTCTTTTTCCTATGCCTTTTGTAAGCACCCCAACTTCCCTTTCAGAGAAACTCCCCTATCCTTTGAAGAGCTGAAGTAGAATAGCATATATTTTTTAGTAGTTTTTTAAATGTTAAATAATGTTTAGACTAGAAAATGAATTCATCAGGCAAAAGCTAAGGAAGGATATACTAGTTAAAAAGAGAAAACCATTCTTGTCCTCCGGGTGTGAGCTGGTATGTTAGCACTGTGTTTAAGGTTGTAAAGTCTGGGCTAATCGTGAAGTGACCAGACTTATGTGGCATCAAGGAAAGATGCCAACAGATGGATTTTATAAGCAAATCTGATGTGAAATTGATTTGGAACCCAGGGTTAGTCTGTAAGGGAAGGTAAGAACCTATTTCCAGCCTGTCAAGTACATTTCCATACACTTAACTGTTTTCATATTTGAAGTGAGAAGATCGCTGATGCCTGTGCAATGCTGAAATTCCCATCCGTTGTGCGAATATTTTCTCTGACCTCCTTTGGCACTTGTTGACAAATCATCCAAGCAAGACTGTGCTACCAGACTTGATTCTGAAAGAGTTGTTATTTCACAAAACTTACTTTCCTTATTTTATCCTCAACCACTCTGTTTCAATAAGAATATGAACTATTCATGGACATTTCATATTTTCTGTATAATCCATGCACTTCCAACTTTAACATTAATGCTAATGTTAATAGAATACCTTTCATTTTCTAAATAGGCTTTGTGTTGTATTTATTCACCAATCATAGCTCCTTATATTTAATTTATGGCCTGTGTATCAACTTAAATAGAATAAAAACCTACCTGTTAATTTTCTTCAAAAAGTACTTCAGGTCTCCAAAAGGGAAGGTATGGTGAACTTAGGGCAGTTATTCCTCACCGTAGCTGAAAGTGTTGGTAAAGCCTTTGTCTGTCTCTAGTTACTCAGTCAGTTGAATATTGGTGAAGACTTCCCTTCATTATTGAGTACCAGGATGTGGATCCCAGCAGTTTTCTTTTCCCTTAAGATCTGTTCCTGAGTGGATTTGGATGGCTCTGTCTCGCTCATGTCTTCACTAGTTGTTTGCAAGATGTATCCTAAGTGAGAGATAAAAGGAAGTTCAGAACAGTGATAAGCACTGTTCTTTTTCTTTGGGGAAGGAAGCCAAATCTTATGTCTACTGTGCTATTTAGGATTGCTTTTTGGAGCAGCTTGCCAGATTTTCTTCTAACACTGGAGAATAATGAGTCTTAAATATGGAAACCACTAGTATGCACAAGCCCCTAGATTTGCTCCCCAGCACTGCCACAAAATAAGTTTAGAAAAGAAAAAGTGAAAGATCTGAGGGAATGGGCTGATAGTGTCCCAAACCACAGTCAGGGAAAGTAACCTATACCAGTCCCTCCAAATTTTAAAACCAGTATGAAAGCCTTCCTTGATGGATGGTAGGTAATAGTCTACCTTAGGGTGTGTTTTTAATGCGGAATCTTTGTGTCCTCTCATAAATAATGTACACAGGTTCAGGAGCCTTTTGTAGATTACTAGCAAACTCACCCCAAAATAACAGGTCATCATCATTAGCTTTCTCTTTGCTTAAAAATAGCCCATAGAATGAAAAACAAAATTTTAAATAACTGTCCTTAATTTCATTTGTCATGTGCCAAAACAAACATAACAGATGGCCTCATCATTTTCTTCATTGTTGGAACAAAGTACCTGATGCCTGGAGCTTAAATGGGGAGAAGTTTATTATAACTCACAGCCTAGAAGTTTCTGTCCATATTTGGCTGGCTTAAACACAGGAACAGCATGGCAGAAGGGGCCTGAGCTGTGTACTTCTGAGGTCCCCCCATTCTGCAGCTAAAAATTTCCTGATATCACTAGCCTGAAGCTACAAAATTTTCCAGGTTTCCCGTCCTAAAAATGAATTGTTCTCTTATTCTTAATGTTATGAACCCCTAGGAGATCTCTCCCCTCATAAACCTAGTAGAAAAAGTACCATGATTTCCTTTCTAAATCATAGTCATTAGTATTAGTAGCTCTATTTAATGACCAGTCAAAAGAATTCCTCTGAGGAAATGTTTCAGTTACTATTCCTCTTCCCTTCTTTTTTTTTTTTTTTTTTTTTTGTGGAACTGGGGATTGAACTCAGGCCCTTATACTTGCCAGGGAAGCGCTTATTCTACTGAGCCATCTTCCTGGCCCCCCCCTTCCCTCTTTGTTGTTCTGGCATGAAGATCTGCACTGGACCACCTCTTACTGTTGCACTTTGGGGAAGCAACATGTTGATTTAAAAAGACAACAAGCTTTTGAGTAAGGCCAGAGTTTAAATCTCAGCTACAGTATTTGGTACCTCAGCTCAAGTTTAACTATTTTTATTTTTATTAAAGCTTATACTTTTATAAAAAGGACTTCAATGTGATATTTTTATACATGCACATAACATATTTTGTTACCCTACCCATAGCCGTACATGATCCTTTTTCCTTTCTCTCATCTAATAATAGTCATCCTTCTGCCATCTTCTTTTTAGAGTCCACATATTCGAGAAAACATACACTACTTGTCCTTAAGGTACAAGTTTTTAATTTTAATGTAATAGATAAAGATATTGCTACAGAAAATATAAAAAAGCACACTTATGAAAAACTAAAACTAAAATAAACCTTTATGAGAGCTAGAGAGTAGCAGTAGTTAATACACTGTGTACCATAATCTGAAAAGAATGGCAAGATGTTACTTAGTACGAGTCATGGACAAGACTTACAGAAAGGAGACAGATAAGAGTACAAAGCTTTCTTTTCAGTGAACTAAACCAGTAATATAAATGAAACAAATTAACATATATATACATATATATATTGAAATGACAACATAGAAATTGTTTGAAAATTCTCCCTGTTTCCTTTTTCTCTATTTCTCTATAATGTTTTAGTTTCTTATATAACTGAAACCAAGCGGGGCATGATTTCACTTATATAATCCTATAATCCCAGTACTCAGGAGGCTGAGGCAGGAGGATCACTGAATTCAAGGCCAGCCTGGGCTGCAAAGTAAGGCATTGTTTAAAAAAGACAGAGAGAGAGAGAGAGAGAGAGAGAGAGAGAGAGAGAGAGAGAGAGAGGAGGAAGCATACAATCTTTAAAGTTGTGTATCTGCAAAGGAAGGACCATTTTGTATCTGAATATGCAGAACAGTTAGGATAGATATACAGCTACTTTCTCTTAATTCAATGAGAAGAAAGATTTGTGCTAATAGTGTTTGGATAGGATATCCTGCCTACTTCTTTCACTATGTATAACTACTAAGAAGATAACAATGTACAATGTATTAATTACTGAAACTGTCCTATTAATCATCTTTTTTTTTTTTTTGGTAATGATTTCATGGTTTTTATTCTTTTTTTATCAGCTTTGAAACTGTCTTATTGATATTTCTCAATAAAATAAAAAAATTCCAGAAAACAATTTAGAAGTCTTAGCACACCTTTTAAGCAGCATGACACAATGTCACAGCATTCTATGCTGCCTTGCCTGAGACCTGAGTCATTCCTTTGTCCAGGGCATTAAATCTCCATACTCTACTGGTGCATTTGCCTTAGTAGCCAGCTCAGTTATCAGCTAGATACTGACTCACAATGATAGTGCTTGTGTTCATCAAGTTACCGTTATTTTACTGAATAATGGTCCCAGTGTACAAGAGTAGCAATGTGAAGGAGGCACTAGGGCAAACAGCATGTGCTATGGTGTGTGTCTAGATGACCATCCAAAAGCCTCATGGCTCCCAGGACTTCTTTAGAGGTAGCTGAATCTCCAGTGGGTGGGTGACTGCTGGAGCAGTCCTCTGCAGTCTAGGTAAGATAAAAGGAGTAAAAAGAAGCTTACCTCCCCCTTTTCGCTCCTGTTGCTTTTGGTATCTTCTGCCACTATGAAAAGCTGTCCCTCTGCCAAGCCACCCTGTGTTGGAACCAGCCTGTTATGAACTGAAAGCTCTACAAACTGTCAACTAAGTAAGCCTTTCCCCCTTTAAAATAACTAAAGTTGTGTATCTGCCTTATTTCACTTAACATTATGTTCTCGAGTTGTATCCATTTGCCTATGAATGTCTCAAGGTTTTCTTTCTTTATGGCGGAGCCAGTAATCCCAAAGGCCTAATAAAATGAATAGATACTTCTTAGAAGAATCACAGATAGCTAGTAAATACATGAAAGAATGTCCAACATCACTGATGTAAGAGAAATGCAAGTTAAAACTACACTGACATACCATCTCACCTCAGAAAGAAAAATCACACACACACACACACACACACACACACACACACACACACACATACACACACAATAACAATTCTCCCTATTTCCTTTTCACTCTTGTTGTATGTGGGGGGGGAAAGGAACTCTCCTACACTGGTGGTGGGAATATAAACTAATACAACCACTATGGAATTACTATAGAGATTTCTCAAAAAACTGAAAGTAGACATTCAGTTTGACCTAACTCTCCCCCTTGTAGGTATCCTTCGCAAAGAAGTTATACATGCATACCCATGCTTATAGCAGCACAAGTTGTAAGAGCTAGATCTTAGAGCATATATATCCATTAGCGGATGAATGGATAGAGAAAATGTGGTATGTATACACGATGGCTTATTTTGATTAATGTGCTCTGAAGTTCCATCCATTTCCTCACCGGTGACAAACTTGTAATTCTTTACTGCTAAAACTCCATGTGTATTTGTATCACACTTTCCTTCCTCATGTGTCCACTCATGGGCACCCATTAGCCTTAGTTTCCACATGGGTGAGTTGGGGAATGATGCGTACTTGTAAAGGTTTTTAAGAGGAGTAAGTAAGAAAAATACGAAGTGCAGGTTTCACAGTAAATACTTGAGAACTGTGGCATTTCCTAGCTTCAAGTTTCCCTTCTAATTATCATTCATAAGATGACAGAAATTGCAGGTCAGTATATACTGGTTTACTCAGAAAAACTGTGTGACTGAATTTGGTTAAGAAAAAAAATCTTACCAAGCTATCATAGATCAAACGGTATGGTTTATAAATTCAGAGACTTTATAGTGTTGCCTCCTTTTCTAAACAAAACTTATGTTTTCACTTTGTTGGCAAAATTGCTGCCTCCTAGTATTACCGTGTGTTCTATTTTAGTTCCTTTGTCCCAGGCAGCTCACTCTGCTTCCCTACACTTCCTGCTCCTTCCTAGACCTGCCTTTCAGTCCTTTAGCTTTTTCCTCAAAGTAATTCTTCACTATAAATCCTGACTTGGGATTCTTAGTTTTATTTAATTGTCTGTGCTGGCCTGGTGGTATAGCTCAGTGGTAAAGCACTTGCCTAGCCTGTACATGGCATGGATTTAATCCGCAACACTACAAAAATACAGCGTCTCTGCTGATGTATACCTGTTTTGAAAGGAGAATTGAAAATATTCATGTGTATTTTCCATCCCCAAATGTATGATTCTTTCTCAACTAGGCAAGAATCAGTAGACTCTTTGATGTCACTTTAAGCTGTTCCACGTCACACATAATTCCTAATTATAATTTATAAGTCAGATAGACCAATTCAGTGGTGTTAGCTATTGAACCAATGCTTACGATAGTCAAGTATAAGTTTTCTTTCTTTTTTTTTTTTCAAGTATAAGTTTGCTAATGAAAAAAATCTGTTTCAGTACTCTGAGCTTCCCAACCTAATAAAGATCCCATGCAAATGTCAATTTGCTGGCCAAACTTGTTTCTATAGACTTAGACTTCTATAGACTATAGTCTATAGACTTCTATAGACTATAGTCTTCTATAGTCTATAGACTTCTATAGACTATACTTCCACAGAAGAGGTGGAGTATAAGAAGAATTAGATATACTGTATTTTGTTTTTTAAAAGTTGTTTACAAGATTTTCTAGGCTTTGATTATTCAGAGCATGGAGAATAGTTCATGTGTTATATAAAAATTATATCAGATTTTTGTGTGGCTCTTCCATTTCATAACTATAAAACTATGTCCAAGATTTGTAAACAAACATACAGTTTAGTGTATGCTTCTCAGTTTACTATTTGGTTTTGTCATCGTGTATGGACAGTTTGTGGTACTACTGAAAATACCTTCGATACTATTTTGATCAGAATTTGTAATATATAATTCATTTTGGGATGATGAATAAAAATTGTTCTAATCTCTCGAATTCTTTTATGTTTGTTTTTAAAGCCTTCGTGGAAACACTTCCATTTATAAGCTGCCTGGTAAAAATGGCCATCTCACTACCAGCATAGTATTTCTGTAAGTCCAGAGATGCTAGAGGTTTGTATGCGTAGACTTGGGAGCCCAAAAGTACTCTGACGGAGTGCATCAGCAAAAGTCCGCCAGGAACACAGCTGCAGGCACACAAAGTTAGGCTTGTTGTCTCACTGGAGCAAGAGAAAACACCTAATATGAGAGACCATGACGTATCTGGAACAACTTATCTTTCTATAGGATTTGAGTGAAGCTGGAATTGTGAAGTTAACAGCCATGGACTGGGAATATCATAAGTTAGGAAATAAACCTTAGTTTACATCTAACAGTGTCTAAAAAAGGAAAGACACACCATGATCAGTGATATTTATTCCAGATATGCATGGCTAATTCTGCCTAAAAATCAATGTAGTAAACCATATCAATAAACTAAAAAAGCATGTGATTGTGTAAATAAATTTAGAGATTAATGAAACCCAAACATACTTGTGACTTTAAAACTCAAGTTTTAGAAGGAAGGTATCTGAACTTTTAATGTAGAACATTTACAATTAAATGCTTATTAATTTGATCGATAGCATGCAATAGTGAAAGACTGAAGCTTGAGAAAAAGGCAAGAATGTCTGCTCTCAGTAGTCCTATTTAGCCCAACACTAAAAGTTCTAGCCACTGCAGTAGGAAAAGAAATCAAAGGCTAGGCATGCACAAGGCACTTTGTTGAAGCCCCAGTACCACAAAGCAATAAAAATAGAAAATAATAAAAGGTGTATAGATTGGAGAGAATAAAACATGTCATCTACAGATAATGATAATGATTACAAGGCTTTGAGAATAGCTTATGGAAGAAATAAGAAAGCTTTGGAAATGGCACCTACAACAGAAGTGCTGGAATAGCTTCGGCTGTTCTGTATGGAAGACTCTGGTCAGAGCTCAGAAGACCAGAAGGCTGATAGAAATCCTGCCTATAAAGACCAGGCTGGGGAGATTTCTTTTGGGAAGAAAGACTACATTGGTTTTTGGACTTCAGATGATGCGTGTTTTGGCTTGAAACAAAGTTTGCATTTTGCTCATGTCCAGAGACTTTACCTGAGGCAGATTAAGCATGGCAGACTGATTAGTCTTTCAAAAGAAATTTCAAAGCAGCTGAATATTGAAGCAGTGGCATGACTATTGTTGGGGCTTTTAGCCAGATTTATGTTGAGAATCAAGAGCAAAGAGCCCAGCAGGATGATTTAAAATGTGAATTTGGCCAGAAAGGAAGCTCCAATAAAGCTGTGGAATGCAAAGATAGAGTTGACAGAATCTCCACTGCCCAGAAGGAACAAGAGAAGAGATGGCCTGAGGAAATCACAGGAGGCAGTAAGTCTCCATTCTTCGCAGTCTCAGAATAGTAAGAGTGAGGGACTTTGCCTTGGGGAAAAAGCCTCAGAGCCCTATGTTCCAGAATGATGGCAGTGGCCATACCAGGTTCCGGAATAGCACTGGCGTGGAGAATTTGTTTCTTAGAATCAGGGTCAGAGTGCTCAGCGATCCAGATACTCAGCCCCTACATCCAGGATAGAAGAAAGCCTGGCTACTGCTCCAGTTGGCAACAGACCTTGACATCATCCATGTGGTGTTGGTTTTAGGCACATTCAGAATGCAGGAGTTCTGAGGTTCAGAAGGCTTCCACCTAGGTTTCAGAAGAAGACCTGGGAGGCTAGGCAGTACCCTGAGAGGGTAGCGTGTCCACTGTGAGAAGCCTATTCAGTGGAAACTGCAGAAGTCTGGAAAAGACAGGAACATAGATCATCTGAGGAAAACTCCAAGGAGGGAACAAAGCTGGCCTAAGAGAGAAGCCATGGGAGCTACTACCAAGAGTGCCATAGGGCTGGAGCCATGTAAGGACTTTGGAGCTCACAAATAATCACAGATTGCTTCAGATGTTGCACATGGAATTATAGAACTTAATGTTTGCCCTGCTGGATTTTGGACTTGCCTTGGTCCCAGTGCTTGGTATCCTGCTGTGTGTATCTTTCAGAATGGTAATGTTTATTTTGTGCCATTGAATGTTGGAAGTGTTTAACTTTTTGTTTGTACGGGGGCTCACAGCAAAGAGTTTGCTTTTGATTTTGGAGTAGACTTGAGACATGAACTTTTCAGCAATGCTGAAACTTTTAGGACTTTGGCAACTCTTAGAAATAGACTAAAATGCCTTTTGCATAAAGGGATGTGCATGAATCTTTGAGAGTCCTGTGGCAGAATGTTATGGTTTGTGTCTAGGTGTTCCCCTAAAGCAGTCACGGGGCAGACTTCTACAGTTCTTGATTAACTCATGATCCACTGAGATCATGGGTGTAGTGCTGCTGGGATTATAGGTGTAAGCACTCTACCCATCCTAGGGCAGATAGCCTGAATGCAACATATGGGAGACAAACTTGCTCTCTGTAGCCACTGTTGCTGCTGCTCTTGCCCTTTTGTTCTTGCTGTTTTGCTGTTTTCCACCACCATGAACTGCTACTCTCTACCATGTGCCAGTCTGCCTTTGAGCCAGACGAGTATGGACTGAAATCTCCACAAACTGTGGGCTAAATTAACCTTTCCTTCCTCAATTCTGGGTGTCATTTGTCCCAGCAATGAGAAAAAAGTAACTGAGACAAACAAATAAAGAAAATGTGGTATTTAAGCACAGCATAAAAAAAGATAAATCATTTATAGGAAAATTGGGTATACCTTGAGACTGTAGGGAGTGAGGAGATAGCTCAGTAAAATAAGCTCCTGCCTAGCAAATGCAGGGTCCTGAGTTCAATCCGCAGCACCTAATATATATA